CCCCCCCCCCGCCGGTCCTTGAAAAAGTGTTTCTGCTTGAAACTGGTCCCTGGTAGAAAAAAGGTTGGGGACCACTGCTCTACTTCATAGTAATCATCTCTAATAGGTCCTGGGTATTTTAAGTGAGGTTCGAGCTGTGTCATGTCAGCAGGCTTAAGCAGGCTACTGTGAAAAATAGGATGTAATCTTTTAAACCTTATGGTAAGTGTAAACGAACCATAACTGGATTAATCACTTGAAGTATTTGAAAGGGACCAATATATGTTGGGCCTAGTTTTTTACAGGGTAACCCCAAGTTAATATATTTTGTAGATAGATATACCCATTTTCCTACTTCTAATAAGGTCTGTTCAGACCATTTCTTGTCTGCATATTTTTATACAATTCTGTTGCCTTGGTCAATGTACTTTTAACCGCTGTCCATCGAGTTTGTATATCTCCAATCCATTTAGTGGCTGTGGTTGGTTCGTTAGCCACATGTGGCCATTCTGGAATAGGAATAAATTCCATCCCATTTACTATGTGAAAAGGAGTATATGCGGTACTGTTATGAACAGTATTATTATACACTACTTTAGCAAATGATAACGTCTCAACCCAATTTGTTTGCTGATAAGTTATATAGCATCATAAATATTGCTCGATAGTGGCATTAGTTCTTTCTGCCGCTCCATTAGTACATGGATGGTACGAAGTACTTAGTCCTTGTGATGAGCCAATAAGTTGAATAAATTTCTTCTAGAATCAAGCGGTGAATTGGACTCCTCTATCTGAGATTATTCATTTGGGTACTCCATGCAACCGATATACATTTCTTAAATGTAGCTAATCATTTCTCAAAGCAGCTAATCATTTTGCCGATGGTAATCCTTTAGAGGGAATAAAATGAGCTTGTTTTGAAAACAAATCAATTACTGTCCAAATAACTGTATATCCTTGGTTTTCTGGTAGATTTACTATGAAGTCCATTCCAATATCTTCTCATGGTCTTGTGGGTTCTGCTACCATTTGTAATAATTCCGAAGGCTTTCTAATTCTGATTTTCGTGGTTGCAGACACAGAACATCCTTTCACATATTTTTCAATATCCATTCCTATAGACGGCCACCAAGACTGTCTTCTAGCTAAATGTAAGGTTTTGAGGAAGTTGTAGTGACCTGCCTGTCTGGTATCATGACAACATTTTAATACTATAGACTGTAGTATTTCTGGTACATACATCTTTTCCCCTCGCCAAGCTATTCCATTTTTCATTGTAACCTGAGCACTATTTACAGAAAACCATAGATCTTTCACTAGTACTGCTAGAAGGTTTGTTGCAAGAATCGTTGTTCGTAATGAGTTTATATGATCGTTACAGGGAATAAGTGATTGTATCACCTCTTCATGATGACATTGCCTTGATAGGCCATCCACCATAAAGTTTTCTCTAGCAGGAACGTATTTCAAAACAAAATTAAAATGTCTGAAATACAACGCCCATCGAACCTGCTTTAGAGACAATCTTCTTGGATTTTGCAAGACTTCCAAATTCTTTTGATCTGTCCACACCTCCAAAGGATGTGAACTACCCTCTAGCAAATGTCTCCAGTAAGTAGTGCCCATCGGACTGGAAATGCCTCCTTCTTCCATATGGCCCAATTTCTTCCTGTTGAGCTTAATTTTTGGGATATATATGCACATGGTTGTAAAGATTCAGAGCCCCGAGGCTGTCAAGGAAGCTGCAGCCCTCCCCCACTCCAAAACTGACATTGTGGGCTCTGTGCTGATACTGCAAGTGAGCTCTGAGATACACAACCCTGAAGCTGTCACCCGCAGCCCTCCCTCACTCTGCAGCTGACTCTGTGAGCCTGACATGAGGATCGGAGGTTTACAGCTCCAAGGCTGTAAAACGTCATTGGCAGTCATGAGTCCGGAGCGGTTGCCAAGCTGTAATGTCGGGCTCTGAACACTGGTAAGATGTAGAGCCCGACAAGTATTGTATTTCAAACAGAAATATAATCAGTGTTATAAATGTTCTCTAAAAATAAAAATGATAAAAAGATCATCATAAATACTACAAATTGTTTGAAAATACCGTAGATCTAGATGGTTAATCTGTGGAAGTGTTAATATATACATAGGTTTATATTATGGATTGATTGGCTGTGCAGCTTGTTTATCATAACGATTGCCATTGGAAGTATAAAGGAAAGGTAGCAAGAATCACTGCAAAAATTAGATGGAGATTATTTTGTTAAGTGTCCATTGGAAAATCTTGGGCAAAATTTTGATTTAAAGGTTATAAAAGAATGAAAATAATCAAAAATTTGTATAGAGTAGATTTTTGATTTTCAGCAGATCAAATATTGAAATTTGTTTATGTAAAGAAAGTGGATGATAATAAGTTTGTGGATGAATATAGATTTGAAGACTTTCTGCTGAATGAGGTTATAATGGAAATGAAGCACATATAAAATAATGGTAATGCTTATGATTTCAGCAGTGAGTAAGACAAAGATTTATGGTAATCATGAAACATATTTATGGACAAATGTTTGGTCAAACAGAGAGAATTAGGACTGAATGAAGAATGAATGGATTTGAAAGAATGGAAAGTCTGAGAAAGTTGTGGTTGGATGAAGCTGATAAGATACTCAAACAGAGATAGTGAGGTTTAAAGAACAATAGGCAATGTATTAATTGAGATGTCAGAAAAAAGAATGCTTTGCAAGAATAGAAATATATGGAAAAGTACATAGTAGATGGATATTAGAGTGTACTACTTTAATTTTCTTTCGCATCATATTACTCACATACATACATACATACATACACACATGCAAGAATAAAAGCTATTTGGGGAATGATGATAGGAAAAGATAATGTAAGAAATTGCTTTGAGCGCAATTGCATTTTGCATCATCCCTCATAGTAGCAAAATGAAAGCCTATATAATTCAGAAATAGAATTTTTATTCAGAAGCAAATGCTCTTTTGTCACTCCCCATAATAATGAAATGCAGATACAACTTCAGATGTCACTTTCCCCAGACAGATTTTTTTAAGTCTCAGAGTCTTCATCAATTTATTCAATTTATTCAGCTATTGAAAGTCAACAAATGTGAAATATTGTAAATTGAAGCAAATCTTGGGGCAGTGTTCAAGTTGAAGATATCAAAAATGATCATATGTTTAGAATTCACACAATATGGTGAGTCAAAAACTCTGGATAAAAGTCAGTATGTGGGAATTTAAATTTAAATTTGTCCAAATCTACAATACATCATAGAAGATGAATTGTGGAAATATTCACAAAACTTGATAATGCTGAATGTGTCTTTAATAATCCCCTAATTGAGATTGAAATCAGACAATGGCTGCAAAGGAAAGATAATCTGAATAAGAACTTGAATATATGAAGGTGTAATTTTTGGTAACTTTTGGCAATTTATGTTTGAGAAATTTGCCAGCCGTTGAATGCTTCTGCTTTAAAAAACAAATACAGTATCAAATAAATCAGTTTAATTTAGTTTAGTTTATACTTGTAGTACTCCTTTTATAGGCATCTTGGTTTTATCAGTGGTATCAAATGCATAATTTGCAAAATGAAGTATGTAAATGCAGATGTCCACGTTGATGGTTATTCATTAAGTAGATACCCACCAGCAGCTATTGCACTCTAGGGAGACTAAAAGTATGGGCATATGGTTGATACATAAAACTTGAAAAGTTAGCATGCCATTGGTACTCACAGAGGATGGAGAAAAGAAAAGTGAACAGTTCTTTCCAACTGTATTTCATTTTATAAGAAATGTCCAGTAAGTTTTGACATAGGACCAATTCTACATTATTATACAAGATTACACATTCTTGAATTTTTTTTCATAAAGTGTATACTTCTGATAATACCAGAAGTTGTTCCAAATATCCTAGAAAATATAAATCATAGATTATTGCTAGAACTGATAAAAGTACAGGCCACTATTTATTACAAAATATTATAATTAGCATGCAAAGGGCTGAAAAATTGAAGAGGATAACATAAAAGTGATTTTGACTGAATTAGAACACTTTCTCCTTTTTGACTGGCACAAGTCTTCCAAATGCCTGCTACCAGGTCCTTTTAAGTAGACATGTCAGAGATCGAATACTTATTATTCAAGGCATGATTTTGAGTGTTAAAACAATGGTTTTCATTACTTTTCAAAGATGAGTAACAAATCAAATAAGAGAAAAATGGGAAATCGGTTTTAACACATCTGTCATGTCATGGAGCTTTGTACAAGGGTTTTACTTAAAAGGTAGAGTAGATAAGAGTCTGAGAGGAGGGGGAAATAAAAAATAATTAAGTAAACACAGTTGTTGTTCTTTTATAATTACGTCAGTGGGTTTTATTTAAAAAAGGAATAGAACAGAACAGAACAGAATTCTTTATTGGCCAAATGTGATTGGACACACAAGGAATTTGTCTTGGTGCATATGCTCTCAGTGTACATAAAACAAAAGATACATTCGTCAAGAGTCAAGAATCGTAAGGTACAACACTTAATAATAGTCATAGGATACAATAAGTAATCAAATCATACTAGGAAACAGTCAATAAAAATAGTTAGGATACAAGCAACAAGGTTACAGTCATACAGTCATAAGTGGCAGGAGATGGGTGAAAGGAAGGATGAGGATTAATAGTAATAGTAATGCAGACTTAGTAAATAGTTTGACAGTGTTGAGAGAATTATTTGTTTAACAGAGTGATGGCATTTGGGAAAAAACTGAAAGGAAAGGATATCCTCACTGTTATCATTATTAATTGTAAACTGAACAGCCAGTTTGTTGTACTCAAGGTAGCTAGAAAACAGGAGACTATGAATTCCTCCAGTAGTCCCTTAGACATGAAGCCAGCTATCTTAAAATCTAGGTAAATAAGAATCTCTTGATTGTCAGATCTGTATGTTGTAGCCAAATAGATGTGAATCAATCACACCATTCAATGACTGCTTCTTCTGAAGATGAAATTTCTTCACACAGGAATTAATCCAATACGTCTTTGCTTTGCCTTCCAGATCATTCTCTCTCCCTGCTGTGAGCAACTATCAATTTTTATCCAGGATCAACAGATATCCTTCAAATGCCAACATTGGTCCTTCAATGAAGCTTTCAGTACTGCTAAATGACCTTGCAACATTGCCCCGTTGTCACATGTTGTATGCATGTTACATTTAAATTAATTAGTCAAAAACTGTTGTATCAATGTGTATAACTTCTGAACTGAGTTCTAAAAAGGTTGCAGAAAATTTCAGTCTGTTACAGGAATGTGGGTATCACCAGCTGCTTAGCAGATGATGGTTCGTCGTGGGATAATAGGGCTGTCTCGAGTAGTAGTTGTACTTGTGTTCCTCTGCTGTGCAGCATCTGTGTTCTACATGTTTACCTGCACTCCAAAAGGTAACCATCAGCAAACTGCATTCCTCAGAGTTATCAGCCCAATAGGAAAAGAAGAATCTCAGGCAATCCTACAAAAAGGAGAAGAATATTATTGGGACCATATCAACAGCCTGAAAAGACAAATTGCTGAGCTGAAAGATAAGCTTCAGGAAAAGAGTGAACCACTGAAGAACATGCAAGGTCAAGATACTGACATACTGGGGGTTAGACTAGACCTAGGAAACTCTGAGAAGTCCCAAAAAACCCTACTGCAGTTCCTCCATTCCCAGATTGACAAAGCAGAAATACATACTGGCATCAAGCTACCAACTGAATATGCTGCACTGCCCTTTGAGAGCTTCACTCAACATAAAGTTTATCAGCTGGAGACGGGACTTTTACGTCATCCTGAGGAGAAGCCTGTGCGCAAGGACAAGAGGGATGAATTGGCAGAAGCTATTGAGTCAGGGCTGGAAATTTTAAATAGGCCAAAGAGTAACAGCAGCATAAATCATCGAATATACTCTATCTCTGATTTCATAGAAGGTGTGTTTTCTGGAAAGTCACTTAAGAATGAATGAAGAAATAGGTGCGGATATCTTAAAGATAGGGTTTCTGCATGTATTTCTGTCCTCAAACAACTGTTCATAATTTTTTTGCTAGTGTTATGTTCTAATAAACCACTGAGAGCAATAGATAATTTGTAAAAATAAAATTATAAATGCCTACTGCTAAAATTGCAGAAATAACATCAGAGGAATTATATATAAAAATATTTTTACCTCTTTAAAAATTCTAGCTAATGATTGCCTTCTCTTTCCTAACAGGCATTCGCCGGACTGAAAGAGATAAAGGCACCCTATATGAGTTGATATTCAAAGGAGACAAAGAATATGAATTCAAGCGCATTGTTCTGTTCAGACCATTTGGCCCGATCATGAATGTTGCAAATGAAAACCTCAATATGGCCCACGCTCTTATTAACATCATCGTGCCACTGACAAAAAGGGTCAGCACATTTCAGCAATTTATGCAGAATTTCAGGTTGGTATCATTGCTACTATGACCTCTTATGGCAGATGAGAAGTTGTAGGGCAGTGTAGCTAGAGTTTGTGTTTTGAAGATTTATTTGTAATGTTAGATTAAAAAAAGAGTATTAATTTGAAATATTTATCTATGATGTAGGTAAACGTAGACAACAACATGATAGTACATAATTAGCCAATATTTTTTCTTGTAGCAAATTACCTTACTGGTTAACATATTGGACTTAGTTTTAGTGTGAGACTAAGCATGCAAAGCATGATCTCAAACTTTTATCACCCAGAATTATTTGTTATGGCTAAGTTAGCCATGATTAGGAGGATTTGTGAAAACAAAATGTCTGAGTCAGTAGAACTCTTACTCATATCAAACCAGTGAGAAATACTCAGGCTTCTGGTGAAAGTTCCTCAGACATGCTCTGACTTGAACTCTGGCTAGGCAAATATTTCCAAGATGGCTGGAGTCTGATTTGTGGTATGAACTGAGATGGGAGTTTGAACCAGTGATTCTTGGGGAAGTAGACAAGGTTCTCTGCTCATCTGGACCAGACTACCTCTTGAAAGTAGCCAGGAAGCTGACCTATGGTTGAGTCTGTGCTTGGTATTGGCCTCTTTGAGCAAGGAGGTGGCCATCTTTGGATCCAACCGTTTTGAATAATTATTGCCCTGTCTCCAACTTTTCACTTTTTTAGGGATCACTGTTGAGAAGGTAGTCAGTCTGCAATTAATAAGAACCCAGGAAGAAGCAGATTATTAGACCCATTCTGATCAGATTCAAGCAGAGATTCAATACAGAGATACCATTAGTTGTACTTGTGGAGAATCTGTGACAGAGTCAGGATGGAGGTGGCACATTTATCCATGTACTATTTATTCAGGAGATGATGGAGAAACTGTATTTCCTGACTTGCAAGATCTGGTTAATGTAGCTGAACAATAGATATAATTAACTTATCTGGTTGTGTTTCCTGTCTCATCTGCCTGGTAAAGTTAACATCCACTATAATGCTCCTACAGTCTCCTTTACAGCCAAAGAAGTTCCACCCACTATCCAGCTACAGCCTATGTTGTTTCTTACCTGACAATTCCTTAGGCAGCATCTCTTCACCCTGTCTCCCAAAATTTTCCCCACATACCAGGCACTGGGTGCCAGTTTGCTTCTGAGTGTAATTCAAGGTGCTGATTTATTCTATAAAGCCCTACGTGGCGTAGAGCTTGGTTACTTCAGGGAATCACCCATATCCTGTGGTGTTGGCCTGGAATGAGATTCTGCCTGAGATATATGTGGCTCCCACCATGATGACATTCTAGAGGGCTTTTAAAATCTGGGTCTTCTCCCGGGCTTTGAGCTAGATGTTTGATACCCTTGTTACATATTGGATATGTTGTGTTGACTGGAACTGTCATCTCTGTATTGCTATACTTTTTTCTGAATTGTATATTTGTTATGCTATGTTGTTCTATTGTTTATGCTCTCTGTCTCCCAGAGTCAAATGAAACTAGGCAGTCTCTAATTGGAGATAAATTAACCTTCAAGGAAAGACACTGTGCATTCCAAAGTGCTGTTATCCAGTTCTTTGTCTGATTCATGTAATGTTATTTGTTTGGTTTGGCTTAACATGTTATGTGACCTCAGCTCATTGTAATTTGGTTGCCATGATATATGGCTTAGTACAATGTGCCAAATCACTGGTGCCTTACTGAACCAATTATATTTAAACATACCATAGCTTAATACAGTATGATGTGAAAATGGGGCACATATATCTAATTATGGTTTGGAAATATAAGAGAGAAATAGGTTTGGCCTCTCACCATTTGGCTGCCACTATATTGGCTTTCTCCATTTGCTGTAACAGACCTCAAGAATCTCTTTAACAATTTGCATTAAGACTGCATGCATACAAGGCAGATTTGTAAGGGAAGGCGTAAATATCAGAGTAAATCACTTATCTGTGGGTTCAAATGCTGAAAATAGTGGGTCTGCAGCTACTCAGTGATCTATGCAGTCAGATTCACTTTGAGATTTTAAAAGTCCTGTTAATATTTCATGAAATGTTTAAACAAATAGATGGTGTGTCTTGCTTTAAAGATTGAAAAAAATCTGCCTAATAAACATTTTATTAAAAATGAAAGTTAAAACATTGATTTTTAGGTTGGGCCACTTTTTATACAAAGTGAATTTGATGCAGTGGTTAAGGCACTAGGATAGAAACCAGGAGACAGTGAATTTTGTCCCTTCTTCAGCACAAAGCCAGCTGGTTGAACTTGGGTAATTACTCTGTTTCATTCTTGGAAGCTGGCAACTTCTGCAATCTTGCCAAGAAACGGCAGGGCATTATTCAGGCACTTGCCAGGATTCAACGTAGATTCAAAGGCACAAACAAAAAATTTCTATAAGTTTGAAATTATCAGTATCAATGTTGGAACATTTTGGTAAGGACAGGTGTTCCAGGTTTCTAGTAAACCATTTTGGGATCAGAACAATCAACCTCAAAATGTTTTACATATCTGTGTTGTGGGTACAGGTATAGATAAAGATAAGTCAATGCATGAAGGTGAGGTGCAGTGTGAATATATAAGGCGTTACAAATTAAAGTTGTACGAAAATATGCTTATTATCCTCCACTTGATGTCTATTTTAGGGAGGTGGCTATGCAGCAAGATGGAAGGATTCACCTGACCGTAGTGTACTTTGGAAGTGAACAAATGAGCAAAGTCAAAGGAATCCTAGAAAACATATCCAAGTGAGCAAAGCGTTTGACTTAATGTCATTTTTAATTTTGAAACCAAAAGAAAAAGAAAAGGTGGATTTCCTGATTCTACTCTTCTCATTAATGGTTAACATTTTTAAAAAAGAAGTGGCAAGTCTTAGGATAATCTGGAAGACCTATTGTTGTTTGGCTGAAATCTTTGCCTTGTAATTCTAATCTCCTCTAAACAGAAAAGAACCGCTGTGCTTAGACAATCCTTAAACAATACTGGAAATGCTATAAGCAAAATTCTTCTCAAAACTCTTATTGACAAATCATCATCTTTCAGATAATTTGTCCTGCACTGACAAAAGTAAATTTTTAATTAGTTTTTTCCCCCCTCTAATATTAATTAAAATCTGGGAACAACCATATCTGTTTTCAGCAAAATACATTATCCAACTAAAGTTTTCAATTCAAAAGGCATTACCTTTTTTTTTCCTACCGTTTTTTCTTTGTCTTGGAAACTTCCAGCTATGGAACAACCACAAGGAGGCAAGCTGTCCTGTTGATTTCTCTCTGTATTATACAGCTTCCATTACACTGCAGATTATACAACAGATTTTTGAATAAATTCTTACACCCATCTACCTTTTCCAGTAATAATGCAATGTCCACACTATACCATTGTTAAATTAGATCTATTGCAATCAACAGGAGCAAACAACCTCTACAGATTTCACTTGACTGCTCTAAGAAGTCTGGATCCAATCCCATATTTCAACAGTCAGTTGATTTACATCATATTTTCCTTTCAAAAGTCAACTGAATGCTACTGAGGCATTTCAGAAGGAAACTTTGGCAACTAACAGAACTTGTTGCTTACTATAAATTAAAATGTGGCATTAAAAACCAACTAATATATGATGATAAAGCATTTGTTTTTATTGTATTTATGTATTAACCAATTTATATAGCACATCTCTCACAAATAAGCAACTCTGGGCAGCATACAATAAAGCTAAATGATGACCCAAGCCATTTAAATGGAGTATTTCCTTTCTTGCATATAAGAGTCAGTCATGATAAATGTATTAATCACTAAGACTCTTTTTTTCTTAGAATAAAAAATTGTCTACAAATGATAACATGAAAGGTAGATAAAACTTAACTATAATTTTTCTTTACAGATCAGCCAATTTCAGAAATTACACATTTATTCAGCTGGATGAAGTGTTCTCCAGGGGGAAAGGTCTGGACGTGGGTGCAAGATTTTGGAAAGGAACCAATGTTGTACTTTTTTTCTGTGATGTGGATATATATTTCACAGCAGAATTCCTGAACACATGTAGATTAAACACACAACCAGGTACAGTCATTCATTCATGATATGATGGACAGAAATTCAATTTACACCATAAGCAGTTTGTTATTCTTTTTAACATTGAAGATATATTACATACATATATTCCTTCAGAGGTCTGCCAACTCTCTCTAGCAAAACTGTAACTATAACTGAAAACTCAGCTAATTTCTCCTTTATACATTTCAGAAATTAGACAATGTATATAGCCATCATCTATAATGATGATGGAAAGTATTCTTCCCCATAAATGTGATAATAATTGTAATAATGAGGGAGGATGGGAGCTCATTCTGAGTGATTCAGCCATTGAAACAGTTAAAGAAAAATCTGGACTGTTGATCCAGGTAAATGGACATCAAATTTTGAGATGCAATTTGGAAAGTTCCCTGCTCAGGTGATTTTCATTTTTTTTTAATGCAAACAGCTGAATCCATGTTTCCTTTTGTCTTTGGAACATTTCCCAGGACTAGCTGAAAACTAAATTAGAAAATAATAATAATAATAACAACAACAACAACAACAACAACAACAACAATAATAATAATAATAATAATAATAATAATAATAATAATAATAATAATAATAATAATAATTTATTTGCGGTCACAAACCAAAACACAAGTACAACAATGGGGAAATTAATCATGAACAATTGGTCACCAAAAACTTGACTAAGGGGAATTACAGAGTTCTCCTCTGATGGTCACAGCTCTTTAAAAAAATTTGGAAACCAAAGAAGTGATATATGAGGAGCCATCCCCTAGACAATATAAGAACAAATTACTAACATTGGATCTAGAAGGGTCTGTTTCAAGGAGAGACAGTAATAGAGAGCACCATTACTTTGGATTTGTCGTAATTAATAGACAAATGGTTCTCAGCACAGTAGGACCCGAATGCAGAAAGTAATCTTTTCAGACCTGGCCTTGACAATGAAAGGAGGGCTACATCATCAGCATAAAGGAGAAGCGGGATCTTCGTAGTTGACAACTTTGGGGCATGGGACTCAATACGTCCAATGTGAAAGGCCAAGTCAGATAAGAATAAATTATACAAAAGAGGAGCCAGAACACAACCCTGCCTTACTTCGTTCTTAATCGGGATAGGATTTGAAAGTTCTCCCTGCAGACCACACCTGACCTGACTAGCGGTCTGGCTGTACAAAGATGTAATTAAGAACAGAAGACATCTATCAATAGAACTTTTGAGCAGTTTTGACCACAACAGTCCCCTAGGGACTGAGTCAAATGCTGACTTAAGGTCGATAAAAGCAGTAAAAAGTTTGCCACCTGGTATGGTAGTATATTTATTGACCAGGTGCACTAAGACAAAGCAGTGGTCCAGTGTGGCACAGCCCGCTATAAACCCAATCTGTTCAGCACCAATAATATTGGACTCCTCAACCCAGGTGAGGAGTCTATGTTGGAGATATTTAGCATACAGTTTCCCAATGATGGAGAACAGGCTTATGGGGCGATAGTCAGCTGGATTGTTCCTATTTCCTCATTTAAAAAATGGAACAATAATTGCTAAGCTCCAGGAGGTAAAGATCCTGCCAGAGGTATTGATATGCGTGAAGAGTCTTGCTAAGAGGAATCCACCACTCGGGATTGGATTTTAGCAGATCAGGGGGAATGGCATCAGGGCCAGGGGCTTTGCCTGACTTGAGTTCGGAGATAAGCTCGGTAATCTCAGCATGAGTCACGGGTTGCCAGTCAGGAACTGCAGGAGGCAGCTGTGGCCCAAGCACAGTCGAACTTGTTGACGCCTGGAAAATTGCCAAGAAATGGTTTTCCCAATCTCTGTTGGAAATACAGCAGAGAGGGAGTTCTTAATGACCCGGCAAGGAGCTGGCAACAATTTGCCAAAATAATCAAGTGTTCTTCTGCTGGATGGAGAGGAGAAGTAGATCCCACTTCTCTCTCTCTTTAGCTTTCTTTTTCTTAGCAATTAGTCCTTTATACTCCCGCTTCAAGCGATAGTAGTGCTCTGGTGGGCATTTATCCCCTCAATTACGATAGAGCAGGTAAACCAATTAATCTGGTTCCTGAGCATGAGACACTCTTTGTCAAACCAAGAATTACTTCTTGAATGATATGGACCACTCGGCCTAGGGACGGGTCCTAGCTCCCTTTGAACACTATTAATTAGTGATTCAAAGGCCGAGATTGTCCCTGGGCCACTACTTGTTAGGGCCTGATTGTATAGGCTGAGACACTCCGGAGATGATAAAAAGGAGTGGAACTTTCTTTCAGTATTAGAAGACCATTTGATCCTCTTTGTATACGAGACCACATAGGGATCTAATATCTGGGGACCCCTAGGGAGATGTATATTTGAGGAAAGCCCAATGATTATAACCAGGGGGTAGTGGTCGCTCTCCTTAAGGCAGTCCACATAAAAAGCACAGACTGCCTTTCTAAGAAGCTGGGATACCAGCACAAAATCAATAACACTACTTCCACGTGAGGAACTAAAAGTAAACTCACCAACTAGATCACCTAGGGTACTCCCATTAAGAATTATCTTATTGTGTTGGGCTGCTAAAAGGGCTAACTGAATGCCAGCAAAATTTGTTAATTTATCCTTAGAATGTCTGGCTGAAATCAGGTGTCCTATGGCCTGGAGGGTTTCTTGGGAGTAGAGTGCCTCAATCGATGGGGGAACTTGGACTCCCAATTGGGCATTAAAGTCGCCCCCTATAAGGATGTACAGCACTGGGAATTTAGTTTCCATACAAGTAATGTAATTCTCCAGCACGCCCAATTGAGCCTTAGTATCAGCTTGCCTCATCATCGGGGGAAGATAAACGTTGAACACTAACAGTTTGCTGTGTCCTCTCTTAATTAGGAGCACCATAGCTAAAGAGCCACAGGGGGGCAGCTCCGCTGTCTCCACTTTCAAAGCAGTAGAGACCAAGCAAGCTAGACCACCCTTAGGCCTTCCTGTCATAGATTGTCTGGTGGCAGCCAAGGAAATGACCGTAAACCCTGTAAGGCAGGGGTCCCCAACCACCGGGCCCCGGACCGGTACCGGTCCGTGGATCATTTTCTACCGGGCCGCCGGTTTGCTGGGTGCTGCCATCTTGTTTTGATGAGAAAGTGCTTCCAGGTGAGCTTTTCCGGTTGGAAAGCAGCGTTTGGGTCCTGAAGGAATCCTCGTGCCTTAGTTTCATCGAAGGGGTGGTGGTGGCTTTGAACGAAGAGCCGTCCCGATGGCGGAGGAGATTAAGAAAGCACAAAAAAGGTACAAAGGAGGAATTGAAGGTGGCGGGGAGAAGCGGGGGACGGCTGGCTGGCCGGTCGCTCGGCTCGCCTTGCCTTGTCATGCGTGCTGATGCCGGTACCAGGACGCGGATCATTTTGTGATGCTGGTACCGGGCCGTGGCACAAAAAAGGTTGGGGGGCACTGCTGTAAGGGATATCTTATCGCATGCCCAGGTCTCCTGAAGCAGGACCACATCAAATGAGTGAATATAGTTGGCGAATTCTGTGGTACCACACCTTCTCCCCCAACATGCTATGTTCCACGAAAGGCACTTAAGTGTGCGGGGAGGGTTTGCCAGATTTAATAGTCATTCTGTGTGATTAATTTTTCCCAGAGCGCCCTTCGGATCTGAAAAGATACAACCATTGTTAAGTGGCAGGGTCATCTCTTAGGAGGCAGAGGCAGGGAAGGACAGAGGGGAGGCGAGCCTTGTTCATGGGGCTGTAGGGCTCTAAGTGCATTCCAGTTCGTACTTGTGGCATTAATTGGTTGCTTAGCTGGCAAGTATTCAGCAGCATCAACAGACAGAGTTTGAAGTAGCCCTGGATCTTCAAATTTACAAATTAGACATTCTGGAGAGAGCGCCAAGGGAGCTTCCGTTGGTAAATCAGTATAGACACCCTGGAGTCCAAGGGAATACTTATCAGGTAGTGAAAGACTCCAGAGCTTGGATTTAACTGCATCCAGACGCTTTATGATTTGGGGCCTTTCTGGTTGTGGAAGCACACAAAAGGAGTCGAAGAGCTGTGTCTCCTCCTGGTTCCAGAAATTGTCTTGACATAAGTCAGTCTCATAAATAGATGGAATCCGAAAGGCACTGACCTGGGGCTTATTTACTAAGGAACCATGGGTGCCCTGGGCTGGTGTCGCTTCCTTTGGGGCCATTTCTTCCCAGCTGATCAAGTCAAGGGAAACTTCCTGGTAAGATGTTACTAACTGCGGGGGGTTGATTTGACCGGTTGTAGGAGGAACAGTCAGGCTACCATCTGAGAGGACACCAACTGGAGGTTTTGTGGGAATAGGTGTATAATTAGTACGTGATGTAGTATCGGAGATGGCATTCAAGGTTGGCGAATAAAAATAGAATAAATTAGATAAGAGAAATCACATCAAAGCTAGGCATTGCTAGACTTCCAGCTGAAGGAGAAAATAAGCCTAAATCCAGAAAAAAAATCCAGCAGGAGCTCCTCCATTATAGACAAAGAATAGAACAACAAATATAGCAATGTTGTCATTCCATATGTTGCAGGAATATCTGAAAAGCTCAGGAGACTATTCAACTAATACAATATACATGTACATTTTAAACCCAAGAACACGCTAAGGCAGAAGCTTGTCCACCTCAAGGATAAAACACTTAGACACAAATTGAGTGTAATGTAATATATATACAATACAATATAGTGAAACGTGCCAATCTGTACATTGGTGAAGGATAACAACCACTTCACAAGCATATGGCATATGAGATCAAACCCATCAGGACAAGATTCAGCAGTTCATTAAAGGCAACTCTTGAAGACAGCGAAACCCACATTTTGGATAGAGAGGATCATTGGTTCCAAAGAGGAATAAAAGAGTCAATTTATTTTAACATTGAGCAGCCCTCTCTCAACAGAGGGGGAGGGATAATACCTATCTACAGTCTACAATGCAGCCCTTGAAGCAGTTTCCAGAAGATTCCACAACCAATTTGCACTCTAATTCAAGTGATTCTGAGGGCACAGATAAGCCCCCAAGTGGCCTCAAGAGCTCTCAGAGAGTGCTAACAATGACTGCAAAGAAATACAATCTTTGCATCTCCCCCTCCCAAAACATCTGGTCAGAACTCATTCTTCCATCTCCCCACCATCACAACTGATGAAGTTTCTTGGATGAGAAACAAAATGTTTTCTTCTTCCTCAAGAAAAAAAACAATCCAGTTAGCTTTTGAAAAAGCATCTTTGAGAAAATCCCAATCCCATAAATCCATACTGGAAATAGAGCAAGCTAAGGCATAATAAAACCTAAATATGGATGATGAGAATTTAATTTTAAGGACTGCGGAGCTTTGTGTATATGTGCATGTGGTAGATCTGCTGCAAAAGCTAGGACCCTGTTTAATTTTAGAGGAAATATGTGTTATTTAGAGCCATTTAGTGTAGAGCCATGTTATAGAAACCAGAAAATCACAACTTCTAGTCTCAGCTTAGCCAGTCACTCTCAACCTTAAAAAGGAGATCGTGCCAAGGCATGTCTGAACTGTTACCAAGAAAACTGCAGGGACTTTGCTAGGGAATTCCTAGGAGTCAACAGTGACACAAAGGCATACAGGTGTTAACATGTAAATCATACTTTCAGTTCTCACTTCTTACATAAATATATTAAAAAATGTAGCATTTAGATTGTTTCCTACAGAAGCATATAATTTCTCTTTCTGTTTACACCTACACATTGGGTTTCAAAGTGGATTACCACTGGTTCGGTGGGTGTGGCTTGATGAGCACACTTTGCGCGTGCGCATACACTTTGTGTGTGCATGCCAAACACGCCCTTTGCACAGGCGCAGAGGCTTCCTACTTACCTGCAATCCTGCACTCCCTGTGTCTTCAACAGCTGACACGCAGCAATTTGTCCCGCGCAAAACAGCTGTGCTTCAAAAACAGGAAATAAAGGTCAGTATGGGAGCCCAGGTGGGCGGGCAGGCCCAACAGCAGATCGTCGGACTGAACCAGATGAACTTTGGAGCTACCGGTTCAGCCGAACCAGTAGAATCCCATGCCTGCTCTGTAATCTACTTTCTTCAAAGTATTCAAGAGCAGATTTAGCAAAAAATGACCATAATCTTTTCCAAATCTTATTTCTAGGAAAGAAAGTATTCTATCCTGTTCTTTTCAGCCAGTACAACCCAAGTCTAATATATGGACATCATGATTCCATTCCACCCTTAAAACAACAGCTGGTAGGTAATTGGCTGTTTAACCAAATGCACAGACTAAAAATTCTTTAAAATTCAGCAGTATTTGTTAGAGCCTTTTTCCATTCTAAATTATACTGTAACTGCAAATTTACTTAAGAAATGAGATTTGAGCCTCAGACATAAGCATACTTGGAAAAGAGATCTTTTCAAATCATTCTGCATAAGACTGCTTTTGAAGAAGTCTGGAAAGTTCTTGGAGAACGGATCTGCTTAAAGATGTTTACTGGAAGCTGATAGCCCAGATATAATACATTAATTCTATATAAGTTGGACCACTTTAAACTAGTAGTTTAAGTTTCAGAGAATTAATGGAAGCCACTTTTATTTTTATTTGTTTAAATGCATTGACCAGCCAACTGCAGTGGATTCTGGGTAACGTGTGAATGTGGGGAAAAAACAAATAATATTTTTAAAACTACCCATGCCCATATGAACTTGCCAATGCTTTAAGATTACTGCTAGCAAATACACTACCTAGCTTCTCTTTAAGGTAAATAAGGCCTAGAGAGGAGCTTTATACCGGCATATATAAACATATAATGTTAATTTTTATTTGAATAATCTAAAGCTTTACGCTGTTTCTTTTTTACATCACATCTTAGATTCTAAAAAAGATTTGCAACTGTGGTGGGATTCAAAAATTTTTATTACCGCTTCTGTGGGCGTGGCTTGGTGGGCGTGGCAGGGGAAGGATACTGTAAAATCTCTAGTCAGAGGTGGTATTTGCCAGTTCTCCGAATTACTCAAAATTTCCGCTACTGGTTCTCCAGAACTGGTCAGAACCTGCTGAATACCACCACTGGTATGCAATATACACTAGTTAGGATGCAAAGATTTCTGAGAGTTGAAGTCTAAGAATGGTCAGTTAGATGGCCTTGAGTTTAGCTCTAGTGAACGTTATTTCAAGTTCTCAAATGCAGCTCACTTCTTTAGACAGAATTTTCCTCCAAAGCAACATGGGTGTAATACTGAGGAGACTTGCATTAATTGCCAGTGTAAATTTTAAGAAATTAAAAAAGAAATCACATTCTGGGACAACTGAAGAAAAAGTGGTCTTTTCTATATTTCTCTAATGGTGACAATGTAGAAAAGGATGGCAGAAAATCACTGACTTTTATTCATCACAATGCTTTATTATTTCTCCAGTAAGAGAGAGAAAAAACTGTCAAAAAGAATTAGCATTTTTTTTCTCTAGATAAGGCAATTTTCATTTTTATAAATCCTTACTGGCAACATGGGGGATGTAACAACTTAAAGGATGTGCCTCTCATTGATTAGGAGTTCCACTGCAGATTTGCACTGGGCCAAAAATAAGAATTAAATCAAAAGGGATTATTTAATTGCAGCTAAAACATCTTGTTTCTTCCAGGTAATAAAAAAAGAGACAGGATTTTGGAGAGACTTTGGGTTTGGAATGACTTGTCAATTTCGTTCTGATTACATCAATATTGGTGAGACACTATGCTTTTTTACATATATATCTTTTTTTTTTTTTTTTTTTTTAAACAAGTTTTATTAATTTTTAAAACACACAAATTATCATTATTCATTACATGTTTAAACCTTTTTCCCTTATAAATTTAACAAGTCAGATAAATTATGATTCTGTTTTAAACCATTTCCATATAATATACCAAAACCTCTTATTCAATTTCTCTTTACTTCTCTTTACTCTTATTCAATATCATTATTATTATTTCATCTGTTTCTTTCTGACTTAGTTACCATTATTCTCATTCTATATTTCTACAAGTTTTTACCAATTCTCCCCCCAAAAAAGACATATACACACAACACACAAAACATAAAAAAAATATCTTTTTGGAAAGTAACTTGGACCCAGGTGTCTCTCTCTTCATGGACTTCAATTATATTCATGCTCATCTTACATATCATTACTTATTTTATTTACCATTCTAAGCCTTCTATATTAACTTCTCCACATATTTCACACTTCTTAATTCTACCTTAATTAATCATCTTAGTTTAAATCATTATATTTGTATCTTTTGTCCATTTTTTATCATCCCTTTGTCTCATCCCTTATGAAAAAAAAAGAAGATCAGTTTCTCCTGAAATCATTAATCAGAGTATGATGCCTTTCTATCTCCCCCCTAAGTTAATCAAATTAATCTTTAAAATAATATCTAATACCCAATCAGATTTTGCTTGGTACATTCTATCTAACTAATACATCCAACACAATTAAATGCATAATTAGAGAATAAATCCAAATATTAAAAAGAAATACTATAATAAAAATTTTATAATAACATCAATACCATAATTTTATTAAACTCTTTAATTAAAACAATATTCTAAACCTCTCCTATTATTAAGTTTTAATACCAATCATTTTTAAACATTTTAACATTTTAATCTCTTATCAACTCTTAAACCATTGCAATACTACCATCTCATCTTATGTACCTTGCAAAATCTTTTTTTTTTAAAAAAATTATACTTTATCCATTATCCATAAAAAATTCCTTTTTTCCATTCAATTTCAAAACGTTGTAGCTTTTCTCCACCTTTTCCCTTTCTTTCTTTTCCCAACAAACCTTTCTACCCCCCCCTTCTTCTAGCCTCTGCCTTACCGGCTTCCCTTCTCTGTCGTATTTCTTTTCCCCTTTGTTTACACTCATCATATTGGTTTTGCACTTTATTTTTCCCTTTCTTAAATGTTTTTTTAGATCTTAAGTCCTTAAATCCTTTAGTTTTCTTCTTTTCTCTTCTTTTCTTTTCTTTCTCTCTTCCTTTTTTCTGGATCAAATTCTGAGATTCATTAAAGATGGCTCCTTCCTTTCTTTCTTGTTCCTCTGCTGTCTTCATCTGTTGTAATTTTTGTTGATAATTAGTAAGCGCCATTTCTAAGAAAAGAAAAGCTTCTTCCACACCATTTCTCAGTTCCTCAACAGAAAGAGCCATTATAAATCTTTTCTTTTCTTTTCTCCTTCTTTCTTCTTACAACAACCAGAATATTCAAAAAAAAATAAAAAAGATAAAACAATCCCAAAGTTATCAATCAGTCCAAACCAAGGCAGAGTTCTCACTTTCTCCTTCTGGGGTGATATCAATCAAAGAGAAAGAAAGTCCAAATCTGTTTAAAGTCTTGTTACAATATATTCTAGTCTTCAAATCCTTAAGGCATCTGCTCCAACAAATCTTAGCATACAAATATTTTCTTTTTAATCCTCTCTCTTCCCACTCATCGCTTAAATCCGATTTCCACCTAAAAAAATAGGTTTCTTAATATCCAGTTATTTATTCCGTAGGAAAAGAGGGAAAGCTATCCTTTCAGCACCTTCCAGCAGCCGCTTTTTTCCTCTTCTGGCAGGTATTATTCAGAAAGTCATACTATTCAGGAATTTTATTAAATATGTCTTAGAGTCCTAGGAGCCAAGAAAAACTTTCTCCTCTCAATCACTTTCTCCACTTCCTCCTGCGCATTCTTACCCGGCTGCCAGCTTCTTTGTGGCGGCCATTACGGACCGCCGCTGCACCGTCCTGGGAAAAGGGGGTTCTGCCGGCCAGGGAGGGGGTCTGCAGCACCCCCAAACCCTTCTCCGGATCCCCCTACCTTCAGCTGCCCCTGCAGGGCAGCCTAGCTCCGTACCCGGCTGGGTCGGAGCCCCAAAAACGGCTAGCGCGGCAGGGATCGCGCAGCTTCGCAAATCCCTGCCGCTCGCGAAGCCGACAAACCGGAAGTCTACATATATATCTTTTATTGTTTTATCAATGTATAAAATGCAAAGCAAAATAAAAAATAGGAAATTAAGTGAAGACAAAAGAAAGGAAAGAAAATATGGGGTACAAGGGAAGAAGGAAAAAGATGTTGACTTCTGACTCTTTTTAGCACAGTACAAGATAACATTATAACCTCAACTTTTTACTTTTATACTTTAGTATATACCGTATTTTCAGAGTATAAGATGCTCTGAAGTATAAGACGTACCTATCTTTTAGGGAGGAAAATAAGGCTCTGCCTCTGCCTCCCAGCAATTTGCCTCCTTGCAGCAAACAGCAAACAGCCTGCTTCAGCTCCAGCTCAGTCTGATTAGCACAAGCAGCTGATTGTCGGTTGGATCGCCCTCCCAGCAATCAGTTGTTTCATGCGGCAGGGATTACCATTGTCTATTGCTGCTGTTTTTGCCCTCAGCACACCCCATTTTTGCCCCGTTCCAGGCGGTGGGCATCAGAATGGGTGGAAAATGGGGTGCATGGAGGCAGCAATAGGCAATGGCAATCCCTGCAGCCTGAAACAGCTGATCGTCAGGAGGCCAATCCAACCAACAATCAGCTGTTTGTGCTAATCAGACTGTGCTGAAGCTGAAACTTGCTGTTTGCTGCAAGGAGGCAAATTGCTGGAGGCAAAGCTCAAAAGGTGGAGGGGGTGGCCAGTGGGTGGGGCTTCAGCAACGTTCGCTGTATAAGACACACAGACATTTCCACCCACTTTTGGGGGTGGAAAAAGTGTGTCTTATACTGCGAAAAATACAGTAACTAGCCTATAACAAATCCATCTAATCAGCAAAACCAAAGTCAAAGTTTCTTTTTTTTTCATCACAAGCACAAAATCCAGAAATGATATCTAAATAAAAAACATAAATATATTTTCCTCTTTGACTAGAACAATCAGTTTAACCATTACCGCTTTATCTTCCTTGCTGATGAAATAATATGTATCTCTTTTCGCATTTAATAATTTTTATAAACTATCACAATTTATATTAACAAAATTTACTGTATTCTTTCAGATACTTTAAATTAAAGGGAAAAATATTTTTCCCCTTTTTTAAAGGGAAAATCATTCATTTTTAAACACTAAGCTTTCTTTAAAAACATTTGTAGAATTAAAACATTCTAATACATCTTTTTTAACTTCCTCTTAACATAATTTAAAGTTCATTTTCAGACCAATAAAATTCCAACGAACTCCAATTAACTCATTAACTTTAGATTACTCCCTCTGTTATCCTCATAGAATAATTTTTTTCTTGTATACATCCTTTTTAAAGCTTTACATTTTTTAAGCAAATACATCTTTTTCTTTAACTTTCTCTTAGCATAGATATTGACCTCACCCCTTTCCTAAGAGGTCTGTAGGGGGCGTGCATAAGCGCACCAACGTGCCTACCGTCCCTGTCCTATTGTTTCTCTTATTCTTTTATTTTTCTTATATGTACCCATTTCATGTATTCACAACTATGTATACACTTATACTTATTATCTTGTAAACAATTGGCAAATCAAATAAATAAATAAAATAAATAAATAAATATTTTCAATACACTTTCAATAATATTTTACAAACTGTAGAATTACTAAAGCATTATATATAAAGAAAAAAAATAAATTTTCAAACTTTAGATTAAGACTCAATTACAAATGTCAAACTGATGAAAATCTGTCCTAATTCCAATTGATTCATTAAGTTTAAGTCACCCCTTTCAGCTTGTCTTCATGGAATAAAATGTTTTTCTTCTATGGAATATTTATCAAATAGTTATAAGCTTTTCTTTTTCTCAAGGATTTCTCAACCTTGTTAATATCCATGAAGAAAAAGTCCAAAACTTGTCTTTTTAAAAATTGCACATTTTCTTGGAGGTCTTTTTTCAATTATGCTTGGGAGGCTTCTATTTAAACAATCATAATAAAAATTGGTGTCAGGTTTATATTCCAAAACTTCAGTTGGCTCCTCTGCATTGTCAGCTACTTGTGAAATTGCCTCAGTAGTTTGGTAACTTTCTACACATATTTGCATCTCTGAAGTAGTTTGAGTACTCTTTTTTAAAAAAAGTTTTTATTTTTTAAGACATATACAAATAAAACATTAAAAACATAAAACCATCTTCCATTTTATATGCAGTACTCTTTTTAACATCCTTGGCTGTTCTGTAATTATCTCTAATCATTTGCTCCTCTTTAGTCAAAGAGTAGCTTTTTTATAAGTCACTTAAGAATTGCTGACAAATCAGGAATCATAAAAATCAGAAAGTTTTACTCTTAGCCATTCACAGCAAAGAAGACCAAGCTACAAATTATAAAAATAATGAACTAAATCCATAACTTTCTGCTCTCATATTTCTCCATCATCTTTTTAAAAAGATAGTCCACACTTCTTTATTTTAACTTGCCTTAGCAGCCTTCTTCCTTGTTTCTTCCCAAGAAGAACCTCAAATGGCACAGATCTTCAAAAAGGAATAACAGGCTATAGCTAAAGAGAACCTCTTTTAGCTTAATAAAGATCAGTAGTCCTTAAAAATGATTAAGAAATGAAAGGCACAACCAGTGGTGGGATTCAAATAATTTAACAACTGGTTTTCTGCCCTAATGACTGGGTGGGTGTGGCTGGATGGCCATGTGATTGGGTGGGTGTGGCCAATTTGATTGATCTCACCCTTAGGGAATTTCTCCTTAGTCCAACTCACAATAAAATAGCACAATAAAATAGCATTATTCCAATATTTAGAATAGAATAGAATAACAGAGTTGGAAAGGACCTTGGAGGTCTTCTAATCCAACCTCCTGCTTAGGCAGGAAACCCTATACCACTTCAGACAAATGGTTATCCAATCTCTTCTTTAAAACTTCCAGTGTTGGAGCATTTACAACTTCTGGAGGCAAGTTGTTCCACTGATTAATTGTTCTGTCAGGAAATTTGAGGGACTCCTATAAAAGTGAAGGAGTCAGTCTATTTTCCAAAGTACCAAAAGGCACAACAAGAAACAATGGATGGAAAGTAACCAAAGGGAGAAGAAACCTAGGGCTAAGGAGAACTTTCCTAAGGATGAGACCAATCAACCAATGGAATACCTTTCTTTCAGAAGTTGCGGGTGCTCCAACACCAGAGGCTTTCAAAATGAGTGAGGGAAGTACACCCCAAAAAGACAGTGCCAGGAACCACTAAAACAATGCAGAAAACTTAAAACAGCCATTCCCTTTTTAAAAACCAGTCAACCCCAAAGCAAATGCAACAGCTGAGAGGGAAACTAAGAGCAGCCATTCATGCTAATTGAAAGCCTGGCTGTGCTGCCAAAAGCGATTAACCCTTCCATCTTTATTATTCTATGCTCTCTATGTTCTGAATTGGGTGCTTCACAGCAGAAACAATACAGCGGGCTGAACCACACATGCATTAAATTCACAGCCTCTATAATCAAGCTGCATCATTGTCCTCTCCTGTATCTTTCCTCCCAGGAAGAAACAAGAAGTAGCCAACACGGCAGCAGCTATAAAAGGTCTTGGGGAACTCCAGGGAGTATCAGCTGATCACAGAAGTGTCACTTTATACTCTTTATAATGAAAGTGTTTGTAATCTTGTCCTTCCTAAAGGGAAGAGGCTAATTCCATCCCTAGATGGGTGATTGATGGGTTTCCCTGCCCTAATGCTGTCAGTTTCTGTTGTTTATTGATTTAATTCAGCGGTGTATCGGCTGCATTCCTGCTACAACTGTTAAGTGGTTCTTCACTGTCTGCCCGGAGCTATTAACTGAAGGAGAGAGAGAGAGAAAACCTCTCTAGCACTTTATTTTTAGTTGGTTCTCTGAACTGCACAAGCAATTAACTAATAGTTCGGGCGAACAGGTGAGAACCGGCTGAATCCCACCTGTGGGCACAACTTTGTCACCATTTGAAAAATAAATTTCAAAATGGCTTTTTCTTCAACTATGAAATGATTGCAGCATTTCCCCTATCCCGCCTCAGCTTTTGGCACAAAAGCGATTTTAAAGTGTAAGACATTATGCTTGTTTAAATTTGCCAGGCATTAGTGCTGAATTTTTTGTTGTTGTTTATTTTTAACACATTTCAGGCTATTTCTTGGTATGGGAAAGGTGTACACAGCTACATAATCACTTTGAATTAACTTTTAATATTAGTATATTTATTATTTAAGCAAACCAATCTACCTTCACAATCTATAACCATTGGTTAAATAAAACATACGCACTGAAAGAAAGAAAAACCATATCATCTCGGATGTAAATATTCTTGAAAAAGGATTTCTGACGGATATTCTCTCTTCCAGAACTCTCCCAATTTTTATTAATGTAACTTGCTGTTTTTATTATATCTTTAAAAATATCCAGGAATCCTTTTTCATTTAATTAAGATTTACTTTCCAAATTCATGACAATTTCATGGAACTCCATATTTTGTTACTAATAAATTAGTAAAACTCTTAGCTTGGAAATATTGAAAGTAAGGTGAACTTTGCAAATTAATTCAGGGGTATTTTTGTACATATCCTGTATCTGTTGCTATAAAATATTGCACTTTTCTGACTATAAATCTGAAAATAGTTTATATCTTACTTTATTGTATAATGACAATGTTTACTCAGAGTATAATGTTCCTATGGCTTCTTTGTTTTAAACAATACCCAATTCAGTTTTTCTATTGAGTTATTTATTGTTGTTTCAAAGCAAACATTCAAATATGTAATGGAATTTTTTTTTTCAGTATCGCAAAAAAACAAGTCCACTTTTATTACTTGTTCTAAATAGTATATTAACAATGTGAAGTTCTTTTCTCTGACTAAAATGTGAGGGAATGTGAACTTCTGCTGAATGTGTACACATGAACTAAGAAACCAACAAAGATGCATTTTAAAACAAAATAATATCCTTATGCTGCTTTTAACCTTGAAACAAAATAAACAGAGAGATATGGGAGATATTGGGGGCTGATAAAACATGATGGTTTTGTTAATATAGGTAGTCTTCACTCACCAATGGCAATCACTAAGTGGCGCAGTCATTAAGCATGATGTCATGTGACTGTGACTCACAACTTCCCGTGGCTTCTCCATTGCCTTTGCTTGTCAAAAACCAACTGCAAAGGACACAAATGTCAATCATTTGTGAACTACAATCCTTGCAGCCATCAATGCAAGCCAATAGCCAAGCACTTGAATTACATTCAGGTGACCTCATGGATACTGTGCTGGTTACAACTTTGAGGACTAGTTATAACCAAACTAGTTGTTTTTGGTATTATAACTTTGAATAAATGCTGAATGAGCAGAAAGCAAAAACTGCCTGTTTTGGGATATGAAACCATTGAAATAACTGCAGCATGCAGAACAAAGACATCCATTCCCAAACCATAATGGTGACAAAGTGTGAAAAATACATTGTGACAGCACAACACAAGCTCTGCCCTTTTCCACGTTATTGCCACAAAACATGCAAGTATGCAAGAGGTGGAACTTGTGTTGTGACATCGCAATACATATTTCATCTCTTCTTGCCTACTCTTGTGGTTAGATGGCAGCAGGTGCAGACGGCTGAGAAGAGAGGACTCAGATGAGGGGCCAGGATCGTTAGGGAGTGGACTGCTGCCTTCAGAGATTGGGGGGGCTGGCAGTAGTGATGAGGAGGTTCCCGAGGAGGCTGTGCCAAGTATGCGTGTGCGCAGGGTTGCTCGCAGGAAAGAGCAGCTGCAGCAGCACAGGTGACTTGGATGTAAGGCTGCAAGGTAATGGTCCCTCCTTCAAGAAGATAAAAGTCAGCTGTGAAGCAAACATTCTTTGCAGGAAGCAAAGACATTTTGAAACTCAGCCTCATGGACATTGCAGTATTTTGGTATTTGAAGACTCTTGTGTTGTGATATATTTCTTATCTGTTATTCTTGGCAGACTCACACAGTTTTGGCGAAGCTTGTGCTTATCAAAGTTAATTAGTTTGCAGCAGCCTTTTAACCGAGGATTCATAAGAATCATTAAAAGGTTTCTGTTCCCTTTGGTTCATGTTTGTTTTATTGGAAAAGGGTTTGGGTCAGAATACCTACTCATGAATGCCTGCAGGCAGAATGAATGTCCCAAATCTGTAGTTCTTTTTCAATCAAAGCCTACTTCATCTTTCTGCTGCCACTCTTTCTTTTCTCATTAGGAGGGTTTGACCTTGACATTAAAGGATGGGGAGGAGAAGATGTACAACTATATCGTAAATACCTTCACAGCAACCTCATGGTTATCAGGACACCAGTCCGGGGACTTTTCCACCTCTGGCATGAAAAGCATTGCTTAGATGAGCTGACACCAGAACAATACAAGATGTGCATCCAGTCTAAAGCTATGAATGAAGCTTCTCATGACCAGCTAGGCCTGCTGGTCTTCCAACGGGAGATTGAAACTCATCACCGTAAACAAAAAGCAAATAATAGGAATATGTGAAGGTCTTTCACAAAGCAAAAAGTAAACTTGGATTATAGTTTAATAACAGCTTCTAGGGAGAGAGGAAATTCTTGGGCTTAGATGGATCTTCATAATCTTTTAGGTTTCAACTGGGAGCACAGGCCTTCTTTTGGTTTATCTTACTTTTTTTATCTCCAGCCCTGTGGGTTCCTAATTGCCAGAAAATATTTGGAACTGTATAGAGAGATGAAGGGAGGAGGATGTATGCACTTTGTTGAAATGTAACATTTCGTCAGTAACACTATTTATATTTGGTTTCCCAACTTTAATTGATATATGAGTAGATTGTACAGAGTGTTGCATTTTAACTGTTGTCATGAATGTGAATGTCTGTGGAGACTAACACCAAGAAAGCTGTTCAAATGAGACCAGGGGTGGGCTTTAAAACTTTTAGCAACCAGTTCTCTGCCTGGTTGCTGGGTGGGCTTGGCCTAGTCGGCCTCCTGCACCATGGCAGGGGGGCGTTTTCACCCTCCCTGGGTTCCGGAGATATTCCTTGAACCTCTGAGACGGCAAAAACGGTCTCCCTAGGTTCCAGAGACTCACTGGAGGTCAGAAATGGGCCCATTTCCAGCCTTCCAGAGCCTCCGGGAGGCCCGCTTTTCACCCTCCTTGAGCCTCCCCATGGGCTCACTTACCTGGCATCCAAAATGGGCCTCCTGGGAGGAGCGGGGTGTGGTGGGCGGGGCCAGCCAAGAGTGGGATTTGCCAGTTCTCTGAACTGACTGTAAAATTAGCTACCGGTTCATCCAAACCAGGGTGAACAGGTAGCAGCCCACCCCTGAATGAGACTGATGATAATAGACTACCAATTCTGGCTATGTGCTATATATATACCTCTGATATATACAAGATATATTAAATATCTGAGCACATTATACAGCCATTTCAGTGAGAAATTGGATGATCCAATCTGGAGGGAACATATTTTTTTCTGGCCTAAGCCACTTATGTGATGAACTTGAAGCTGTTCAAAGAAAGTCAACAACTCCTACATTGCAGAAGCCAAATTCTGGAGAAGAAGTTACTAAATTTCTTGTCAAATGAAATGAATATGCAATGTTATACCTGAGAGAACAAAATACAATCAGTTTCTATTTTTTATTATTTAAAAAGATGAACAAGTGACAGATAGAATGTTAAATGCCTAAAATTTACAATAGATTTATGTACGGAATCCCAAAATTAAAAAATAAAAATTATATTTGTTTAAACTGTGAATTAAGTCATACAATTGTTTGCTCTTGGATTCTATAAAGTATTAATTTATTTTATTTCATTTGGTTGTGTATAAGTTCTTCTATTTAAATGTAAAATCTTCCAGAAAATACCACATTGTAATACAGAAGATAGACACTTTATAAGCCAATTTCACTTTATTGAAAAATTTACAACCTCTCATCTAACTGTTGTATTGAAAAGTAGTTGGAATATGAACTGCATATGGATGTGCATATATCTAAAAGACATTTGGCTATTTTTTTTTGGACAAGAATTAATAAACATTGGAAATTTATAATGCTATTTTAGCATAATGAATAAAAAGTACATTAACACTCAGTTGTTGTTGATTTATTTGTAATTCTACACTACTATTCCAGTTATTCCCTGACATTAGTCTTTCATCATGATTTCATATAATTGTCAGGGCTCCAACAAATCCACCCTCATTCAAAAGTCTCTAGCCACATCTCAGAGAAAAGAAAATTGATTTATTAGAGGTAGCCATGTTGGCGCGTGGCTAGGTGCAGCCGATACTAAATTACATCATACATTTCCCCCTGGACCCTGGTCTTCCCCCCACCCTCTGGATGTGACTTCTCCAATGGGACACATCCATCTTCATGATGCTCTCCAAAAACCTTCTTATGCGCCAACAACTTTGGGCTACGGAGGTGATTATCTAGGCATTTCAAGAATACCTTGTTTCCCCCCACTCCCTTTTTCTGGCAGCTAAAAAGACTAAAGGAGTATCTTTTTAGTTGACAATAATACTATTGATTGTGTTAAATACAGGCTGTTTTAAGGCAAATGCAAGGAAGTGATGCACTTGGAAGAGAAAGCCAATGGGAAGCAGATGCCCTCTAATTTTCTCTGCAATCTTCTTTCCCAATTGTTTTTTTCTCCCAGATGGATTAGGATGCTGTAATTTCATTTACAGACATGTGAAAAAGAAAGTACACACTTTTTGAGTTCTATGGTTTTACATGTTAGAACATGGTAAAAATCATCTGGTCCTTACCAATTCTTAAAAGTAGGTAAACACAACCTCAGATGAACAACAACACATGACATATAATACCATCATTTATTTTGCAAAAAGAAAATCAAAATGGAGAAGCCATGTGTGAAAAACTAAGTGGAATACCATAGCCAGAGGTGCTATTCAACCGGTTCGCACCTATTCAGGTGAACCGGTAGCGGTTATTTGGCATGGGTCGCCGAACTGGTGGCAATCCCTGGCTGGCCATGCCCCCAATCCGGTTGCCCAGTCACTCACTTGCGATTGCTCTCCTAGCTTTCCGTTCCCTTTTTTCTCCCTGGGGAAAAGGAAGAAAGGCATGGACACTGCAAGTATCGCTTTTCCGGTGTGAGTTAGTGTCGGGAGTGAGAAAGAGTGCGATCTGACAGAGGGGGTGGGGGTGACTCAAGCCTAGGAGCACTTTTGCAATGTAAAAGAAATGCATTTTGGAAGCAGGTCCTTTAAAACTTCTCCAAGGATTCCCCATGGACCCTGCAAGTATCGCTTTCCCCTTGTGAGTTAAAGTGCTGGAGTGAGAAGGAGTGCAGTCTGACAGAGGGGGTGGGGGTGAATCGAGCCTTGGAGCACTTTTGCAATGAAAAAGAAATGCATTTTGGAAGCAGGTCTTTTAAAAACTTCTCCAAGTTGGAGAAATTTAAAGGAGCTGCTTCCAAAATGCTTGTCTGTTAAGTGCTCTCTCTCTCTCTCTCTCTCTCTCTCTCTCTCTCTCTGT